TAAAATCATAGAATTCGATGCTAATTTAATGCTATATAGCGTCGATTTAGCATCGAATTCTATGATTTAAAAAAAAAAAAATTTGTAAATGAAAGTTTACGTTCAATGTCGACGCTAAAATGACGCAAAATTAGCGCCGATTTAGCATCGACATAAGACGGAACCGATGCTAAATCGACGCTAAACTAGCGTCGGAACAAATCGATGGTAATTCGATGCTAAATTAGCGTCGACTTAGCATCGAAATGTAGCATCGAGTTAGCGTCGAAGATAATCCGATGCTAAATTAGCGTCGAATTAGCGTCGAATTAAGTTTAGCGTCGACAGTTTAGCGTCGAAATGTTATTCGACACAAAAACGATGCTAAAAGACGTTAGCGTCGATTTAGCATCGAATTTTGCCGATGCTAAAACTGTGTTTTCTTGTAATGTTAAAATGATACAATCATAATTTATTTATCTATTTACTACTGTAATTATTAAAAGAAGGATAAATTTGTCAACAATAACCTATTTTTTTAATTTAGAGAAACGTGACCTATTTTTTTAATATTGATTTTTTTTGCCTATTTTCGTAATTCTCCCTTTAAAAATTTCTCAAGATTTTATTACCTAAAACTTATCTCATTTTACGGTTATTAGGTGACTAGTTACCGCACAACATACATACATTTATGAGAAGATATTGTAAAAAAAATTACACGTAGATTTACGATAGCTCATTTACTAATTCTCAAATGAAATACTAACAAACAACTATATTATTATCTTCATTTCTTGTAATCCTAAAACATGTTTTCCGTCGGACTAAAATCAATATTAAAAGTTTTTTTAATCATCGGACATGAGATCTTCAGTTGTAACTCTCTAGTTTAATCTTCCATTCTAAATGATTTAATTCCATCAAATAATATTATATTTTGTGTATTAGGCGGTTACATTGAAAAATTAAATCATAGTACTATATACGACGAGGTTGTTTTTGTTTCCATATCATAGACCCATTCTAAAAATGGAATATAAGAGACATACACCATTGTTGAACAAAAAAAAAAAAGAGACATACACCATGTACATGGCAGTAGAAGTAATGATAATGGAGTCACGTCAGTCCTTCGAGTATCGTCTACAAACGAAATTGGCCATTTCAGATAACACTTTTTGTAATTGATCATGCAATGGAATTTGTCGAGATCGTCACCAAATATACGAAACAACACTCGAAACCCATCATAAATTGATGAATATTATCTAACATGTTCTGAAATCGGGGTTGCTTCCACAGCTGCAACTCAATCGATCGCAACCACAATCTTAAGGTTATGCAAGTCCCATAATGCTTCCATGGTCTAACTCACACATTAAAGCTCTACTGAAATACGACAAGGAGATGGAGTGGTTCGATTAGTAACTTTGTAGTGTTCTAAAATTCACTTGCCGCATGGTGGATTAGTAAATTTATATACGCGGACGTTTATATGAAGTACATACGGTAAATAAATTTTAATAAGTATATATAAATATATTTGTTTTTACAGATAGTAGAAAAATTATTATCACAAATATTAACAAAACAAACCCAATAATTTGAGATCAACATAGTCTTAACTCTAATAATAAAATAACATAGTTAAAAATTGTATCAAGCAACAATAAATATAAGTATCTCAACTATTCAATGTGGTGATTTACATTCCTATTATGTA